AGGCGTTATATGGGAGGAAATGTCGTACGCCATTAAATTGGTATGAGCTCAAAGATCAGAATGTACTCGGTCCAGATTTGATTCAAGATATGGAAGAGAAAGTTTGGGAAATTCAACATAACCTAAAAGTGGCATTTGATCGGCAAAAGTCCTATTTTGACAGTAAAAGAAAAGAGATTGAATTTGAAGTTAGAGATAAAGTGTTTCTCAAGGTGTCACCCTGGAAAAAGATATTACGATTTGGCCGGAAAGGAAAGCTAAGTCCTATATTCATCGGGTCATATGAAGTTGTTAAAAGAATAGGACCAGTGGCATATCAGTTGTCTCTGCCACCAGAAATGGAGAAAATCCATAATGTTTTCCATGTGTCCATGTTACGAAGATATAGGTATGATCCCTCTCACATCGTTACACCAGAACAAGTATAAGTTCAACCTAATTTAACCTATAAAGAGGAACCAATACAAATATTGGCTCACAAAGTCAAACAATTGAAAAATAAAATGGTTCTGTTGGTCAAAGTTCTTTGGATAAATCACAAAGTAGAAGAAGCAACGTGGCAACGTGAAGAGGATATGTGATTTTAATACCCCCATCTGTTCGTGCAATGAAAATTCGATGATGAATTTTCTTGAGGGATGGAGATTTGTAACATCCTCCATACCGGACTAGTGATTAAATTATGAGATTTAAAAATTCAGTGACCTAATTGGATAAATTGAAAAGTTCAAACAATTAAATATTAGTTTATGATATTTTATACCCACATTGAAGTTAGTGGGGAAGACTAGAGTTTCCAGATTTCTCTTCTTCTTCATTCTTCTTCTCCACCGTGAAGCCAAGCTAAAGGTGAGTTTTCTTGTTGATCAAATTCTTGATGAATTTAAGGTTAATTATTGATCATTAGATGATAACTAAGCTTAAGGAAAGCTTAGGTTATCTTAAAACCATAAGATGAGGAGTACATGAAGAATTAAAGAAAGGATGTAGAAAAGTGAAATCTTGGATTAGAGTTCATAATAAGAATTAGAAGTGGGATTTGACTTGTCATCAAGCTAATTAAGGAATATAAAGTGTTAGAATAAGGATTAGAACATGTTGGAATTTGAGTGAGATTCTTAAATTCTATAGGGAATACTGGATTTTTAAGTTTTAGAGGTATTGAATGGATAATAATTAATTTAAGTAAGTGTATGCAAATTAGGGATATGAAAGGAGGTGAATTATGTAGTGTTGAGGGGATTATGAAGGGATTTCGTGCTAAAAATAACATTTTTGGGCTATGTGCATCGATGCACATTCAATGTGTACCGATGCATCAAGGGTAAAATCTCAGAAATTGTTCAAGGTGTATCAATGCACATGAAGTGTATCATTGCACTCCTTTAAAATAAAAGCATCGAATGCAATTAGTGCATCGATGCATAAGGAGTGCATTGATGCACCCCCTTGAGAAGAAAACATCAAATGTAATTTGTGTACCGATACACGGGGTAGTGCATCGATGCACACATTAAGGAGTGCATCGATACACTGTAGAGTGCATCAATGCATACTTTATTAAAAGATGAAAATAGCTTTTCTTTTAACCTAAGAAATGATAGTTTAGAATATATAATTAGTATAATGATTAGTATCAATGTATTACGATGTAGATACAGAGCTTAAACAAGTTCCAGAACAATTGCTCAGCAAGATCGATCGGGGGAAAGGCAAAGAAATATAGGTGAGTGCATATGCATAACATGATTTTCGTAGTGTATCCAGTTCTAGACTTGCGATAAGTCTAGATTCAATACATTGATGCATGATTCATTTCATATCATGAAATATAATAGAAATTCATACTATGTGTATTGTGTAATATGTTTTAAATGAATATGTATACAATGTTATATGAACTATGTGATAAAGGTAAGGAAAAGGATATGTCTATGTGATATACTATGTAGATTGAGAAAAGCCCATGTTATGTAGATGAGAACTATAGGTATAATTGGCATGCCAAGACAAGAGAGTCTACGCGGTTCTTCGGGACATATATGTATTCCTTGGAACATGTGTGATGTCTTTTGAGACACGTACTTGATCCTTGGCATATGTATATGATTCTTAAGGAATTTTCTACGTGGTCCTTAAGGACATCTTATATAGCACTACGGTGCAATTCTACGCGGCACTTCGGTGCAATTCTACGTGGCACTTCGGTGCATTTATACGAGCTGTGGTGACAGCATAGTGCACAACCTCACAGTACTCACATACCTTAGGTTTTCAGTATGGTATTATGGGCCAATAAACTTATTAATACAAATTCATGAATGTTAATGTAATATGCTTATAGGTAAGGAACATTGTGATATAAATTACATTGTTAAGTATAAGATTTCATCTCATTCCATCTTATTATAGCATTTTCATTATATTTCCTTGTTGTTATTATTATTATATTGCCTCACTAAGTCGATGACTTAGCGTGTGAGTGTTTCACACGTAGGATCTGAGAAAGTAGACGAGACAGGTTAAGCAGCTAGACAACATTACTCCTGCAACTATCAGATCAGAGGCAACTTCATCAGTAGGTCATTTTGTTATGTAAATAATTGTTTTCATGTAATCAAAGGGTCAAGTTGTGTATGCTCTGAGTATTTTGATAAACTTGTATTAACATATGTATATTATTGTATTTTAATAATATAAGTTCAAATATTTTATCGTTTTTTAGAATATTATTTTTTATAGTAAATGTGACATCCTGGACTCGTATTCGGGTCGGGTATGGGTTGAGGGTGTTACACACCCATTAAAGAAGATAAGTCAATTATGCTCTTTTTGAGAATGAGAAACTTGATAATCCAGTAAGAAACCACCAAAGAAAAGGAAGAGGTAGATGAAGTTGGACATTTTACCAGAAGTGGGAGATGTTATTCTAAGGATCCTCAGAAGCAATGTCCAGTTGACAAAGGGAAAAAGGTTGAATTGCAACTGAAAGAGGATGAAACTGTCATCAATGAACCTATAACTAAAAATGAAGCTGTAGAATTCTTGAAGTTTCTCAAACACAGTGAATACAGTATTGTTGAGCAGTTGCACAAATTGTCAACTCGTATATCAGTCTTAGCACTTTTATTAAGCTCAAAAGCACATTGTAATGCTTTGTTAAAAGTGTTAATTCAAACTTTTGTGCCAAAGGAATTGCATGTAAACAAATTGGATAGGCTAATTGCAAATATACAGACTGATAATTTCCTCTCTTTTTTCGAAGATGAAATTCCTTATGAGATAAGTGGTAACCCTAAAGCTTTTCACATCACAGTTAAGTGTAAAAGACATATTTTATCTCGAGTGTTAGTAAATAATGGCTCAGCTTTGAATGTAATGCCATTAGTGACTTTAAAGAAATTACCAATTGACAGCACACTCATGAGAAATAGTCAAAGTATTATCCGAGCTTTTGATGGAACCAAGAAAGAGGTATTAAGAAAAATCGATATTCCCTTAACTATTGGTCCAACTACATATGAGATAGAATTCCTTGTAATGGATATTATACCCATTTACAATTGTTTTCTGGAAAGACCCTGGATTCATCAAGCAGGGGCAGTCCCATTCACATTGCACCAAAAGATCATTGGAATTTGTCAACGCCACATTTGTAGATGTGGGCAAAAGGATGCCTAAACCTAAAATTTTGAATTGCACTAAAATAGGACTTAGATTGACCTTATGAAATGGGGCAAAAATTGGAAAATGATTAGGAAATTATTTGTAAGGACCAATTAATCCAGTTCTTCCTATCTCCAAGAAAGATCGATTTGGCTTGTGATATCAGCCGACCATGAAAGAGAAACAGAGGGGTATTATAAAAAGTCAAGAACTGAGAAAGGCAAAGTTAGCTGAAGAAGATCTCACATGGGAACCAATGACTTTTCCACCATTGAATAATACTTTTGTGTCTGGAGGACATGTTTTCCAAGAGAATTAGCAAAGCAAAAGGTTGATTATTGAAGATGCTTTGAAAGAAATGAGTATCAATGTCCTATTAGATGATGAATATGTAGAAAAGAAAGCTATGGGCATTTACCCCGCATCATCGAACTTTGAGTTAAATAATTGGACTGCAGAAGAATTACCTAGAGTTTTCAAATCTTTTTCAGAGAACTCAAATATCAATGAAATAGATGCTGATGATATTGATCCGGAAATTGATTTTGAGAAGCTTATGTGTCCTGAGGAAGTTGAGGGTTATGATGAAGAATGTGATTTACCTTCCGAGCTGTTAAAAATTGTGGAAAAATAAGATAAGCAAATTCTACCTCATAAGGAACTTATTGAGATCTTAAATTTAGGGACTGATGTGGACAAGAATGAGGTAAAAATTGATACTACTTTATTTGATAGAGGACGTCAGAGCTTGATTAAATTGCTACAAGAATATAAGGATGTATTTGCTTGGTCATAAGAGGACATACCAGGATTGGATACATAATTGGTAGTACATAAATTACCAATAAGACCCGAATGTAAGCCAGTGCAACAAAAGCTGAGAATAATGAAACCCGAAATTTTACTCAAGATCAAAAAAGAAGTAAAAAAAGCAATTTGATATTGGGTTTCTTAAAGTAACCAAATACCCTGAATGGGTAGCAAATATTGTCCCTGTAACAAAGAAAGATGGTAAAGTTCATATGTGTATTGATTATCGAGATCTTAATAGAGCCAGTTCGAAGGATAATTTTTCTTTGCCACACATAGACACATTGGTGGACAATATTGCTAAGAATTCTTTATTCTCATTTATGGATGGTTTTTATGATTATAATCAAATCAGGATGTACCCTCATGATATGGAAAAAAACAATGTTTGTCACCTTATGGGGAATATTTTGTTATAAAGTGATGTTGGTTGGACTAAAGAATGCAGAGGCAACATATCAAAGGGCTATGGTAACATTATTTCATGACATGATGCATAAAAAATAGATATTTATGCCGATGATATGATTGTCAAAGCCAAGTCAGAGGGAGATCGTGTTGAGAATTTGAGAAAGCTTTTCCAAAGATTAAGAAAATGTCAGTTGAAGCTTAACCCCAATAAATGCACATTTGGAGTGACATCTGGTAAACTATTAGGATTTGTCGTAAGCCAAAAAGGAATTGAAATAGATCTAGATAAAGTTAAAGCTATTCAAGATTTGCCACCCCCACGGACACAGAAGGAGGTTCGAGGATTTTTGGGTAGACTAAATTATATAGCTCGATTTATTTCACAGCTAACTGAAAATATGATCCTATTTTTCGCCTCCTTAAAAAGAGTGATTCTGGGACTTGGAATAAAGAATGTCAGGAAGCCTTTGAGACAGTTAAGAAATATCTATCAAGTACCCCCATCTTGGTACAACCCATCCCAGGAAAACCCTTAATTCTTTATTTATCAGTCTGGGAAAATTCAATCGGGTGCGTATTAGGACAATATGATCAAACTGAGAAGAAATAAAGGGCAATTTACTATTTCAGTAAGAAGTTCACTGAATGTGAAACAAGATATTCTCTAATTGAAAATTTGTGTTGTGATTTGGTATGGACCACTCGAAGGCTTAGACAGTACATGTTGTGTCACATTACAAGGCTTATATCTAGATTTGATTCTTTGAAGTATTTAATGGATGTACCCGCATTATCTGGAAGATTAGCTCGTTGGTAAATTCTGTTGTCAGAATTCGATATCCAATATGTCAGCCAAAAAGCAGTAAAAGAGAGTGCAATAGCTGAATTTATTGCAAGTAGAACTTCTCAAGAATATGAGCCAATAGATTTTGATTTTACTGATGAAGATTTGATAGTAATTTCAATGGACGAATCAGTTACATCTCCTGATGAATATTGGAAGTTGACTTTCGATGGTGCTTCGAATGCTTTGGGGCATGAAATTGGGGCGATTTTAGTCTCACCAAAAGAAAAGCATTATTTGTTTACTAGTTGACTTAATTTTGATTGCACAAACAATATGGCTGAGTATGAGACATGTATTTTAGGTCTTAAAGCTGCAATTGAACGTAGAGTAAAAATGCTCAAGGTATATGGGGATTCAGCTCTGGTAATTGACCAAATTAGAGGAGAATGGGAGATAAGAGATACTAAGCTTGTAAAATATCAGAAATTGGTTCTGGAACGCATCAAAGAATTTGAAGAAGTGACTTTCTATTACATCCCAAGAGAAGAAAATCAAATGGCAGATGCCTTGGCAACTTTGACAGCCGCATTTAAAGCAGATGAGTATTCAAACATGATGTCTATTGAAATACATACTTATGAATATCCAGCTTATTGTTTTAACATTTAAGAAGAAGAAGATGAGAAACCTTGGTACTATGATATCATGTAATATATAAGATATCAGAGTTATCCTGAACAAGAAACTGAAAATGATAAGAGAATTATTCGAAGAATGACATCAGGATATGTACTAGATGGTGAAATTTTGTACAAAAAGAGCCTGGATCAAGTCTTATTGAGATGTGTGGATACCAAAGAAGCCAAAACAATTCTTGAGGAAGTGCATGAAAGAATATGTGGTACTCATGCTAATGGGCATACAATGGCTAGACAGATTATGAGATTTTGATACTATTGGTCAACTATGGAAACTGACTGTACCAATTATGCCCGAAAATGTCACAAGTGTCAAATTTATGGAGACATGAAGCATACTCCTCCTCATCCGTTGTATGCAATGACAACTCCTTGGTCATTCTCTATATGGGGCATAGATGTTATTGGGCAAATTTTTCAAAAAGCTTCAAATGGCCATCGCTTCATTTTTGTAGCAATAGACTATTTTACCAAATGGGTAGAAGCAGTTTCTTATGCGAACATCACTCAGTATACAATTTCTAAATTCCTGAAAAAGAAATCATTTGTCGATATGGTTTGTCGGAGAGAATTATTATCGATAATGCTTTGAATTTGAACAACAAGATGGTGAAATCAGTTTGTGAACAGTTCCAAATAAAGCATCATAATTCTACCACTTATCGCCCAAAAATGAATGGAGCAGTTGAGACAGCTAATAAGAATATCAAGAGGCTTATAGAGAAGATGACTGAAACTTATAAGGATTAGCGTGAGAAACTACCATTTGCTCTATTAGCTTATCGAACTTCAGTACGAACATCAGTACAAACATCGATTGGTGCAACTCCATTTTTATTAACCTATGGGATGAAAACATTCCTACCTATTGAGGTAGAAATTCCTTACTACGAGCTTTATCAGACATAAAACTAGATGAAGCCAAATATGATCAGTTGAATTTGATTGAAGAAAAGATATTGAAAGGCATTTGTCATGGTCAAAAATACCAGAAGCATATGATACGAACACATGATAAGAAAGGTTCTTGAAACAGGTAATGTCTATTCTGTCTCTATTGAAAAAAAGAATAAACAATGCCTGAACATGAAGCATTTCACATTCTTAAAAGCAAGTAGCCTGAGAAATCAGAAAGGTTGGAGAATTGAACTTGAAACATTTACCTTCGGAGCCTCCACGCTTCACTATAAAGTCAAAACACCGAGAGTAAAAGTCCAGATCTAGGCCGAGTGGGAGTCTTTTAGGGCCAAAGGGGATCGAAATTGGGTAAAGGACATCGAAAGCTTTTATTTGGGGTAATTTTCTAATTTTCGTCAACCGTGGATGGTGGCCGGCGGTGGACGGACTTGACGGCGTACGGTGGCCGCAAATAACTAGCATCCCTCCGGTGAGAGATTTTTAGTGAGAAACTAGAGAGAATTCTCTCTTCTCTATTTTAGAGAGAGAAAAAAAATGAGAGAAATGAAGAAGAAGTGGCCTAAATAGCCGGTTAAGGGTATATTTATACCCTCCCTAAAACAACACCGTTTAAAGGAGGGGCTTCCATGTAATTTGCGTATGGGTGAATCATGCTCGCAGTCTATGTACTCTGTAAGTCTTCCATTATAATAACCGAAATCAGGTTTCTATATCTTTTAATTTTGTCTTCGCATTTTATTTTATTTGTATTTTAATCCCTACCACCTATATATATATATATATATATATATATATATATATTTAGGATAAATTACATGTTTAGTCCCTAAATATTAATAAGTTTATATTTTGACCTATATATATTATTTTAAGGGAAATTATATTATTAATATATATTTTTAATAATATTTCGAATTAGGTTAATTAATTCTAATATTTTATGTTTTAATTATTAATTATTATTATTATATAATTAATTAATATTAGTATTTATATTTTAGGATTATTATCATACATAATTTATAATTTAATCTATGTGAATATAATATTCAGTATTATATTAGATTTTTTAATATTTATATTAAATACTATTAAATTCATGATTTATTGCAAAGACGCTAATTAATAAACACTGGTACTAATTTTGCGCGTTATGGGGGTGCTAATCCTTCCCCATAATTAACCGACTCCCGAACTCATTTTTCTCGTAAGCAGACCCGAGTTGTATTATTTTAATATTATTCTTAGGAATTTTATTAGAATAATATAACATTTTGGTGACCAATCTCACCAAATTAAAATATTAGTGGCGACTCTAGAACTTGGTGTTTCATCTGATTCAAGGAAGATAAACACTTACTTTTTCGAGACTAGTTACACTCTTTGAAGTGTACTATTTGCACTCTCCGTCGCCGGGCAGAGAAACGTCTCGACACTATTCAAATAAAAAAATCATAATCTAATAATTAAATTAATTAGGATAAATTCATTAGGTGATTTCAATAATAAAGATAATGTAATTTTTTTTAAAAGGCTCAGATTTAAATTAATAAAATGTATGTGAGTTTATTATCAGTTGACGAGAAAAATTATATAATAACATGTAAATAAAGTAGAGTATGGAAACAAGAGTATTAAATTTAGGGGTTTGTAAAGTGAGTCGGTGCATGGATTTAGGTGATTAGTAGGTAAGACCTTTGCTAGAGATCAAGTGAGGATGAAAGCTTGATACTGTACCATGTGAGGCCACTAATTAATGTGACTCATCAAATTTCTTCAAGTTCGTGATTCCTACATTTAAATCCAAACACGGTTCATCAAGTTAATTCTTGATCATAGGTTCGTAATAACTACATTTCTTCGCAGCATGTTAATCTACTCACATGGCACGAACTTCTCCTTTTTCCTTCAAAGAGATGAATCTGAGAAGTGGGATTTTGTGTAATTTGTTGGGATGATTGCAATGATTTTGCCTCTGAAATGATGCATGTGAAAAGTTTGTAGAGAAATAAATTGAGAGAAAAAAAAGGAATACGATGGATTCGATGGTTATTGGGTCGAAGTCTCATAGTATAAACATTGTCATATATCTAATTAGCTGAACCTTATTCTCATATGTCATGGGATAAGGGGGAGGTAGGATAGTAGGCTGCACCCAACGCCAGGTTGAGAACAATTTCCGTAGGAGACCTTCGAATTATGAAATGCCCTCCGTGGGACTCGATCCCACTACCCCAAGGTTAAGAACCTTGTACTCTACTAATTGAGCTGGATGGTCATTTCACATTGTCATATATCTAATTAGTACATTATTATATTTATGTTATTTCTTTTACTAAGAGTAAAAATTCGTATGAAGGAAGAATTGTTATAATATTATATTTTTCTATCATCAAGTAATTCATCTTATATAATAAAGAAAGGACGTTGAACACAATCACAATTTCAATCAGGGTAAGCTACGTATTTAATACTTAAATTATCAATTCTGATTTGTTTTTAATACTTAAATTTTTAATTTTTTCAAAAACATATCAAAAGTTTAGTTTTTGTTTCATTTTAGTATCCCGCCCTTAAGTTTTGAAAAAAAAAGGAAAGTCTGTGTACCAAAACACATTTAGTACATAAATCATACTTAAGTTTTAAAAAAATAAAAAAAATTAGGTACTAAAACGGATTAAAATTGATAGTTTAGGTATTAAATGCGTTAAGTTTTTAAGGACGATGTATTAAAATGAAACAAAAAGAAAACTTTAGGAATGATTTTAAAAAAATCAAAGTTTAGGTACTAAAATGAACCAAACTGATAGTTTAAATACTAAATACGTAATTTACCCTTCAATCAAATACCTACCACAGCACTGTTCAATTTCAGGTAGTCGATTTGGGTTTTAGTTTAAATATAATTTTGTGGTTTGGGCTCAATCGGATTTTGAGGTTTCAAAGTTGAGACTGACTTGGTGTTCGTTACATTTTCAGGTTGGGTTTTAGTTTCATTTCAGGTTCAAAGGAAGGGATAACTTTTAGGTAATGGTTGGTTCAGCTACGAAGCCATTTTGGTGATTTTCAAATTTCTTTATATTTTAAATACTTTTTTTATCTTTTATAAAAATATTTATTTTCGTTTTTTAAAGTTTATTATACTCTTAAATTTTATAAATTTATCCATTAATATAAAATTATGTGTTTATCCCTAAATGTATAGGCATGTTTAGCTGGAGGATTCGTGTGTATGTGCTAGGGAATGTAAGGTGTGGAGAGCATGTTTGGTAAGAAAGTACATGTGTATGTGCTGGGGAGTGTTGGGTGGTAGGAGGAGCTGTGCGTGTGTGTGAGTGCTTAGGTAGTTTTGGGGCAGGCTGGTGGAGAGTAATGAGCATATTGTTGCTAGTAGTTTGTGTGTATAGGGTTGGATTGAAGGGAAAACGGACTTGGATAGTCTCCCTTTAAAAAAATTAAATAAAAATATTTTTTTTATATTTTTAATTGATAATTTATTTTCTTCTCTTATAATTTTTTTAAATTTATCCACTCTTAAAATTTTAAAAATTCGTACTCTAATATAATATCATGCGTCTATCCCTATATAAGTGTCTATCCCTATATAAGTGAAGGGTTCGTGTGAAGATGGTGTCTAGTTTGGTGATGGTTCAATGGATGGTGGCCTATGGCCAGACTATATTGGTTCTGCTTCATTTCCCAAATTTTAGCCGAGCAGAGGCTAGTAGTGGCCTCTTTTTACCGTTTTTTAAGGTATATTTGTAGCCAACTCAAAACTGAAGCCAAGCTTCGGATTAAATAAATAAAGATTTTGTCGTGATTAACAAATTTTATAGATAATCGTTTAATATAATGTTTGATGAACTGATCGTAAATGGTTCATATAACATTTGTTTATTAAATTAAATAATAAATAAGAATAAATTTTTTATGTTCATTTAATAAACAAATAAATACAAATAAATGTGTATTTAGTTTGTTTATATTTACAAACAAATTCGTTTATTGACTTGTTTATAAACTTGCAATTAAAAGGATAAAAATAAGAGAGGT